CTCTATGGGGCTAGGTTTACCATCAGAACAGACCATGCTACATTACGCTGGTTATGATAATTAAAAGACCCAGAGGGACAACTGGCACGTTAGATCCTAAAATTAGACCATTATAATTATGATATTGAATACAAAGAAGGAAAATCTCATGAAAATGCCGACGGACTGAGCTGAAGACCCTGCAAAAATGACTGCAGACATTGCTGCAAAAGAGAGGTTGGACAAATCAGGTGCCATCAAGCTGAAGTCAAAGTGATTGAAGAAGTTGATAATGATGAAGTGGAACGAAGTATTGATATTAAAGCAGAACAGGAGAAAGATCAAGTGTTTTGCACCCTGCTTGGGATAAGGTGTCTAGCTAAAGCTCTGTGACAAAGAACTATTGGGCACAATGGGACCAGTTGAAGCTTGAAGATGGTATTCTTCTCCAGAGATGGGAAACTGGAGATGGGAAAGTGACGACCTGGCAAACAGTTATACCGAGAAAGTTACGGGTAGTTGTGCTGCGTCAATCCCATGCTAGTTTAACAGGAGGACATCTTGGAGTTAAGAAGACATTGAGTCACCTACGGCAGAGATTTTACTGGATAGGTATGAGGCAAGATGTGGAAGAATGATGCAGGACCTGCAATACCAAATCAGGAAGCTACAACCATAGTTTCGGCTATTAGTGATTTCTTTTTCAGGTTTGGTATGCCATACAGTAAAGCCGTTAATGAAGTTACTACAACTGATATGACTGCTACCAATAATGGGACATTTCCTGATGGAGCAGATGAATCCTACGTGAACCAGAAGCCGATGAGACAGAGACCAGTATGAAAGAAGAAACGTCCTGTAAAATTAAGAGACCTTTTTGTATTTTAATTTTGTGTTTGTAAATTATGCACATTTAATTATATTATTGTTAATTCTCTGTTGGTTTAAAGTAAGTGGCTATTGTTCGGGACGAACAATACTAAGAAAGGTATAGTTTTACGACAGCGGAAGTCACGTGACGCTGCTGGCGCATGCGGGACTGAATTTCGCGAATTATCGGGGAACTCCGCGAATTTTGGAGACACCTCTTTGTTAGTATAAGTATGCCAGTCCGGCATGGATAAACACAGTTCCAAAATACATAAACAAATTACAAAGAATCCAAAACACACTAATTACCTCTGCA